AGGACAGAAGCCACTAAGAATCTGGCATTATTATTAGCATACTTGGTACCAGGTCTTATAAAATTTTCTAGTGGCAAAGTAGTGTATGTGCAGCAAACATGTTTGCCCATCACTTTTACTAACCTGTCATGCTGTGTTCATAGGCTGGGATTTATCACAAGTATTCAGCATTAACAAACCTCTGCCTGCACTAAAATTAATGGCAAATTTACCATTGGCTCAGTGACCACAATTCAGCCAAGAATAACTGTTTTTTACAATTACACCCAGCACGTTACAAATGGGTCAGAAATGGAAAATAAGCTGCTAACATTTTGTGAAATGTTTTCCTGTTTTTCCCTAAAAACCCCCACTATTTTGAACTTTGTTTGTTTGTTTGTTTTATTAAGGTGGGAAACAACACCCTCTATCATCTTCATTCTAGGTTGAGGGAAAGGCTGCCTTTGAAAAACAGGATTCTGGAGCTTCTACTTGGGAAGGAAAGTAGAATAAACTTTTTTTTTTTTTTTTTTTTTTTTTTTTAATTTTCAGAAGGTCTCACAGATGAGGAACAGATTCAGCCCTTTACAGTTCCTCCTGTACTGCAAAAAGGATAGATCCTTTTTTTACTGGGGCTCTTTATTATCAGGTTGAATTCACTCAGCAGAACAAAGGAATTTTAAAGGGTCCCAAGTCTTTTTGTGGTTACCAGGCAAGTGGATTAATGGAATGAAATGTTGCATTTGCAATAGGAAAACGCTATTATTTTTTTAAGTTTGATTTCTTTCTGTGGCATTCAAACTACATGCATCTCCCTCTCCCCCTTCCATAGTTCATAGACACCTAGGGTGCATCCACACATGGAGGTATATGCGCTTGCAGCAGCTCAAAAAGGAGTGGCACAAATTTGAGCTAGGGCTTTTTGCCTCAGCGCATGTGCCTGGACATGCATTTTGCTGTAGAGCAAGTTGTGCCAGCTGGGGCAAAATAACCCTGCCTGGCTCATCCCGGATCTGCAGCCAGGGGGAGCTAGAGCCTGGGGCCAGCACCTGTGCTGTCCCCAGCAGTATAAAAAGTTTGGGCAATGTTTTATTGCTATATTTACAATGTTAAAGCTATTTGGAAGCCTAGCAGTGATGCTATCATCATAATAAAATAAATTCTAAATATCTATATGTTTTGATATTTGTGTTTGGATTGGGTGTGTGATGGGGGGGATGTGGGGTTTGCAGGAGGGAGGCAGGAAGGGGTGTGGGTGGTGTGGAGGGATGTAGGGGTGTGTGGGTAGGGGTGGGGGAATCGTGGGTGTGGGAGGACTAATTGGGGGGGCTGCACAGGAGGAGTGGGTTTCCTGCTCACCCACAGGGTGCAGCCCCCCTCCCCCCCCCCTGTACAGCACATGGACTGCTCCCCCACGCAGGGTCCCAGCCCTCCTGCAGGGTCAGAGCCTCCCCTTCCCAAAGGGCCACAGCCCCTCCCTACAGGGTCCCAGTCCTGCCACACAGGATCCCAGCCACCCTGCAGGGTCATGACCACCCTGTTCAGGGCCCATTACTCACTCCTGCAGCAGAAGCAGCTGTTGGGCACTTGGGGCCTGCTGCTGCCAGTCCCCATCTCCCTCTAGCATGGAGCAGCCCAGAGTGGATCAGAGCCAGTGCTGATTGTGCCACACATAACGGGACCGGACTGGCTCACCGTGGTGCTGCATGTGGCCATGTTGCTTCACACAGCACTGGGGCCAGTGGCACTGTCACCTAGGGGCAGCGCCTTTTATGCGGGATGGGGAAACTCCAAGTGGAGCATGCCTGGGGACTGGCACACAGGAAAGCTTCCTTGTGGAGGACACTAACACAATTGTTTTTGAAAATGTTAACCAAACAGTTCTCCCACAGTGTCTCAGGAAAACAAGGGTGTCAGTTGAGGGCCTCCGCTGTCTGTACATCAATGCCAGGAGCATGGGAAATAAGCAGGAGGAGCTAGCCCTCCTGCTCTCTAGTGGGAAATATGACTTGGTAGGGATCACAGAGACCTGGTGGGACTCTTTGAATGACTGGAGCATAGTTGTGGAGGGCTACACCCTGCACACAAGGGACAGAGTTGGGAGAAAAGGCAGAGGGGTAGCTTTCTATGTGAGAGAGTGGTACACCTCTTTGGAAGCTGAACTTGGCTCCAAAGATAAACAGCTTGAGATCCTCTGGGTCAAGCTATTGGGGGTGGGGAGGTGAAGTGAGAGAGACCTAACTGTGGGCATTTACTACAGACCACCAAACCAAGGGGAGGAGCTAGATCTGGAGTTCTCTTGTGAACTGACAGAGGCTGCATGCGCAAGGGACTTGGTTGTCATGGGTCACTTCAATTACCAGGACATAAATTGGGAGGAACACTTGGCTAGGTCAGATTGTTCACGCAGTTTCTTGACTGTGATTGAGCTCTTTCTGACCCAGGAAGTGCAAGGGCCAACCAGAGGTAACGGTCTCCTAGACCTGGGCTTGACCAAGGGAGATGATCTGGTGTGTGGCTTGAACACTGAGGGTAACCTGGGCAACAGCGACCATGAAATTATCAGGTTCACAGTCCACCACAAGGGTGAGAAATCAGCTAGCAGGATTGAAGTCCTGGACTTCAAGAATGCTGACTTCGACAGGCTTAGCGCATTAGTAGGGGAGGCGATGAGGGACCAGGAAGGGAAGGCAAATGGGGTGCATGAAGAGTGATTGTTGCTCAAGGACACGATCCTCGAAGCACAAAGGAACACCGTTCCTGCAAAGAGGAAAGGTAGCAGGAGGGCTGGCAAGCCCTCCTGGCTTAATAGGGACATTGTGGTCCTCTTAAAAAAGAGGTATACGCACAGTGGAAGCTAGAGATGGTCCTCAAGGAGAACTACACTTTAGTGGCCAGCACTTGTAGGGGAAAGATCAGAAG